AGAGGAATAGTTGGAAACAAGCACAAGGGGCAATAGTTGGGAACATGGGAACGGCTAGGAATAGGAATATGGTTGAAAGGGTACAATGATGGTTTAAACATGTAGAATGATGTAGAATGATTTAGTAAAAATTTGAGTCAATATAAATATGTATATATATATATATATATATATATATATTATAAAAATATTTTTTAAAAGATTAAAAAAAAATGTACTTTTCATAACCATTTTTAAATATTATAAATTTATCTAAGAATTGTTAATATCACTAATAAATAACTTGTTGTGATTTTAATTTAACATGAAAGAAGATTTTGTTCTAATTCCTTATAATATTTGTACTTTTTCCATTCAAGAACTTTAAAACCACCTTTTTATATCTTTTTATAAGTTTTTTTAATAAATAACTTAATATAAAAGTATTATTATATATTGTTATTTAGTTTATGTATCATTATTTACATAAAAAAAAGAAGATTGCATTGAATTATTTTCTTAATAAATTAATTTCTATTTATTTTTATTTTATTATTTTTAATAAAATAGGTTTATTTTAGATTTGATTTAATTTTATAAATTGGTAATACAACTTATAATCACACATTAATTTAACATAATAGTATCTTAGATAATTTAGATATTTTAAAATATATATTTTCAACAAATACTTTCTAATCTCAATTGATTCAAAAGAAATTTTAGTAACAATGTTGTTAAAGTAAATAATCAAAGCACTTCATCTACATTAATAAAATATTTAAAAACACATCAAATATTAAAATTATTAAATGTAAAATTAAAAATAATTATAATAACATCAAATTTCTACTTAATATGGTGGCTTGATTTTGATTAGATTTAATTACATTCTAAATATGGATTTAAAGATCAAAAACAGTGTCAAAAATAAGAAGAGTACAGATTGAAACAATACACTATTTAAACTGCATTAAATTGAATTATTTTTGTATTGTGTAAAAAATAATAAAAATATCAGAGTTCATCTTTTTTTTATAAATTCTTAAAAAAAAAATTGGCATAATTATTAAGACTAAATTTTTATTTGAGGTATGTTTTTTAACATCAAAATTAGATACTTTAGTAATCTTATAAGTTATTTCTTTGAATTCTTATGTATTTTCTTTTTTCAATGAAAAAATATAGTAAAAAAAATTAGTAATTTTTCCAAATTTGATAACGAGGCACAAAAACAAAGACTTATAGAATATTCAAGTCATTTTTGAAGATTGGAAGAAGTAATTAAAGAACTAGTTGTAAGAATATTCTAGAAGTGTAATTTTTTTTATATTATGATTTATAAAAGACCATCAAAACCACCATACAAGTAAATGTTTTACTGAAAATAATAATGTAAAGAAAATAAGAAATATCATAAAATTTATTTTTTATTTTTATTTTTGTTAATTTTTTTTACTTTTTTACTTTTTTATTTTATATACAATTAAATGTTTATAATTGTATAAGTGTTTAAGCAAGTAGTTTGTAGTTTTGTGTTATTTTAATTGCGCAATAAAAATATCTCCCATTTCATATACAAGATAATATTAAAATTTAGCAATTCAAGGTTAGTTTTAATTTCTTAGTTGAAGAAAAAGGTTGTAATAGAGGAATCAATTACTATAAGTGTTCATTAAATGTGGAGTAGAAAAAAATTGAATATTAGGAGGGATATTATTTTAATATCCATCAACTAATATACCATATTTGTTTCAAATTTCATAATTATATAAATGACAATATAAAATAATATCAAGAAAAATTTGCAACAAATTCAAAGGTTTAATTAGATGTTGTACCTTCATATAGTTTATTAATGTGAATTTACAGTTATCTTTTAAATATTTTAAAATATTTTTTATAATTTAGAATTTAAGATTTAATAGGATGTGGGATATAGAATTTTTAATGTTGGAATTTAAAATTTAATAGGTTATAGGATTTATGATTTCTAAGTTTAAGATTTTTTAAGAAGATTAAAATTATTAATTGTGATTTTTATTAAGTACTTTATCTTAAGAATGATATAAATTTTTTAGGTTAAATATTTTATTTACATTTTTGTATGCATAGATCTAATATATTTCTAAACCAAGCTTTAGTCCATATAGTAATCCAAAAAAAAATAAAAATTATGCAATCCACTTGAGAATTGAAACACCTAGCAGATTAAGATCTGGATTGTAAAATTAAGGCGGGATGGAAATACTTGATCCCATTAGATTTACTTACTACAATTATATAAGATTAGGCATAATAATAAAGTAGCTACTTAAGCAAAGACAACTATTTTTTATAATTAAATAGGGATAGTACAAATATGCAACAAACTTGGGTTGAAGGGACTTTTTTCTCTTTTGGTGATTTAGTAGTCCTGTTGAATCAAACATCCCATTGAGACCATTTGTGCAAACTTAATTTTTTATACTTCTCATACTTTCCTTTTTTTGTGATTATTATAATATTTTGACATAGTCCAACTAATAATAGTAGTTGGTAAAAAAACTCTTTATAATAGAAGTTCAATTTTTTTTTTTTTTTTTTTTTTTTTTTTTTTTATAGAAGTTAAGTATTTTGAGTTGTGAACTAGTATCAATTCAAGGTTTTACCATCTACAGGCTTTTTAGAGTTGATCACTAAGCTTTAACTAAATCTATTGTAGGATTTAATTAATCCTAAATTGACAAAGTTTAGACTGACACACATCTATTTTACTAAAATTTTGATCAGAAGCTTACAAAAAGAAGTCTAATCTTAGACTAAAAAACATAATTTTTTTTTCTCATTTTTACTCTTATTTTTGTATGTTCTAATTTAGATAATTCTCTTAAATGGATTGTCTTTTTGGTCAACATAATGCTTAAGGGTAATAAGAGTTAACATTGACCTTGTTTGCTTAATTATATTATTAATTAGAAGAATCAATTATGGTAGAATTTCATTCCAATGAATCATACAAACATTATGAGATTGGCCTATATATCCATTTGAATGCACACAATGTCAACGTCCATCGTATAAGGTTTTGTCCTTAATAAAAATTGAGTATAACCATGTAAATAAGTGGAAAAAAAAGGTTTTTACTAAATAATTGTTTCGCTGCATGTAGATTCCCTTGTCTATTAAATTCTTTAAAAAAAAAGATTGAGATTGCATGTTCTTGTTATGTTATTGAAAACCCTAGGCTTCTCATGCTAAGGAGTCTTTGCCTTGTTTGAACGCACATAGTTCTACTCGCTCAAGCATAGTCCCTTTTGTAAACCCCAATCATAGACTGTAATGAAATCAAAAACAAAATCAAACTCCTGTGCTCTGTTCCGTGCTCTGATAGCTGTGAGCTGCTCTGTTTTCTCCACCTCTCGTCCTAACCCATCTATTCATAAACTTCTTATTTCATGATTTGACGTTGATTTATGGGTTTTGAATTTGTACTAAATCAAACGCTAACTTTTTCCAGATCGTACCAGTGTGGATATACAAGTAGTCGATGCCCTTGAGGGTCATATAGCTAATTGTGATCGATGCGCTGAACCACTTGAAGCAGCAAGACCTCCTGGTGGTGACTTCAAAACGAACCTCCAGTCAGAGACCAAAGGTGTCGACGTTGTCAAGAACACCGTGAGATTGGCTCTTTGAACTGAGCCCTTCTCGAGAGAACAACCAAAAACTTGATCATGAACTCGCTTGCACTGTCAAACTCGATCAAGTTTATGTTTTTGTTATCCAAGTTTTAGTTTCTTGGGCTACTTTCGAGTTTTAAGCTTTGCTTTAGAACCACTAGTAGTTAGCTACAATTTTGTTGAATGTTCGTCAGAAGTGTTTCTCTGCAAGAATAAGTGAACGAGTAAACATTCCGGAATTTAGATGCAGGCTCTTCACATTCTGTTTTCATCTTTTACACTCCTGCACAATATTGAACTGTGATAATACAGATCCTTGTATCCTGCGCCTATATGGTTGGAATTGTTGCAGGTCTGCATTGGACAAGTCTCGGACACTGAGACTGATCACTACGAACTGGTTTCAGGGAACAGTTCCATGACTTCAATACAGCTATAAAAAGTAAAATAGGAATCAGGTTTAGACTCGAGCTCCACAGTAACACTTAGTAGTAGCAGTTTTGAATATGTACATACCCTTCCCGATCAAATCGAGATGAGATCAAGGAATGTTTAGGCAAGTGTGACAAATAAAGCTGTGGAGTTCTAGCTTCTAGGAGAAATAAGTGCTCTGTCAGTGTCTGCTAGAATTGCCAGAGTAGAGAAGACTAAAATGAGTGGAGGTAATAGAAAGAATCGAAGAAGAAGGCCCATTTCAGAAGGAAAGGGCATCGTATTTAGTCTCTTGATAGCATACTTCTTTGCTCATGATCATCTCAAACTTTCAATATCTAAAATTCTAAAGTTTACCGAAGTTTTGAGGCTTCCTTCACCTTGCTGATGATTAGCTATGCCTGGTACAAGGTCATTCGGTTTTTGAATCTCATGTAATACGGATGATGAAACTTATCGCTCAAAACGTGTTGTCAGCTCTCTCCACGGTTTTTGATGTGGGTATTAATATAATATTGTCCATGCCTGTGATACTGGTCAGACACCCTTCAAGTCTTGCACTGACCTTCGCAATGCTCATTTAGAGACTTGTCCGAATCTTGTCGAGCAGCTTAACGAAGAAGTGGCAAACGAAGTTTCCAAGACCTCTGACACGATTAATGATACATATGGATTGAAATCCATGGAAAAAAATGGTTATTTGAGACAGACCAACGAAATAATATATGCTTTCGAGATTATCTTTCATGCAAAGTTCAATTAACTTCTTTGTTCTCGCTTTATGATAAATGTAAGAAGAAATCCCAAATACCCGAGGTACTTGGTACTTATTTCCCAGAAGAGGTTGATGCAAGATCTGAATCCTAACCGCAATTGTAACACAAAGACCACTGCAGTTGCAACAACCATCTGAGTGCAAGAAAGGAATGAAGAACAGATCCAGTATCAGAATAAATGTATTAAAAATTCAAGATTGGAATAATTTACATCAATTACAATAATTCTAAGAATTCTGACGCAGGACTGCTTATCTTTCACCTTGTACCTTGTTGCTTTAGATACAGAGGAGACTTTCAGGGCACTATGTACAATTAGATCCTCGCCGCATTTGAGCATGAAGGAAATGAGAGAGTTCAATTCAGCTCAGTTTATCAAGCCATGACTATGTTTTTCCGTATTTCGGTTCTTGAGAGCAGTGAAGAAAGCGGCACTCTCCGAAAAGATATGAGCTCGAACCTTATAATCGTCCACGGACTTGCCTCCATCATTTTCAAGAATTTTCTCCAATTTCAGGAAGAAACTTCCTTCGTCGCATGAAGCTTCACTTGGTCCAAACACTTGTTGCTTTTGTTGGGTTGATGTGTTGCTGGTGTTGGGCCTTTCGACCACTGCATCTAACCCAGTTGCTAAGCGGTGGCTGTTCTGGTTTTGTTGGCTGTCTGAGGAGAAAACCCTCCAATCTCTGTTGTTGCTACTCGCCCCGCCGGACAATAATAATGTGGATTGCTCGCTCACGGCAATACCTTCTCCGATTGAGGAAGAAGCTGCAATAATGGAAGCAGATGCTGGAGAAAACAATTTCGGCTCATCCTCGGATGATGGCGATGAAGCATTCGTCTCGCCTCCCGGGAGTTTGCTACCCTCGTGCATAACTTCATAAACATTGTAACCCTGAATATTGCGTGTCAGTAGAACATCAGAATGCTTGCTCAGGTGCAGCCTCTCTCAATCAGCGATAGAACTACGAGCACTTTGAAATAACCTACAGAATCAGCTATCAAGATGTGAGTTCACATCTCCTCAATAAACAGCGTTCAAAGAACTTGTTGTACAGGCGCAATACAATCGACCAATATATAAATCGAACCTCAAGAGGTGAGAAACATACCTTTGCAGGCAGGCCACCACTACCGCTTTCAGAAGTACCGTTGCACCGACTCGTCACTCGAAGCGTATTGGACTGATGCACAACCACACGAACAGACAAAGCAAATGACCTTCCCCTCTGCATACTCGCACTCACTATTCCAACTCTTCCCAGGGGCACCGCACCCACCTTGCACACTGCCGCAACATCCATCACTCAGAACTCTTCAATCTCCACTCCAACCACAATCCGCCTCATACTAACTCCAACAATACCCACACTTCTGAAATCTGATAAGATAAACCCAACGTAACCGCGCAAGCTGAAATAGAAATCGGTTGGACTGTGCATGCGATTGAGGGAAAAGGCAGCTCGGATCAAGTGACACTGCAACGGGGATTCAGGTTCTGGGGCGGTTGAGATTGCACCGGGCGACTTCCACGGCTGCCAAATGGCGGACTCATGGGTGGCCATGGACGTCGAGCGTACCAATTTCTACCCTGAGTAGAAACCGAATCACAAGGCAATCAAGTCCCTAACTAACGCCTAGGACACGAAGTGACGATCGTTGAGTTTTTTTTGTTTTTGTTTTGTTTTGTTTTGTTTTTTTTTACACATCAAATCTGTATGAGCTGAACGACGTTTGGCACCGAGACAGAGCAAGGAATTTCACATGGGAAGAAGCAAAATCGAAGGGACAAAGAAACAAAATTCGGTGAGCATGAATGGCGCAAGGTGCAATGGATTCCTGTGACTCAAATTCGGAGAGTATCCTATACTTCCGAGGACAATCTAAGCGGTGGAGACGACGACGTGGAGTTGGGTATTGTCAGTAACGTGCGACGTCGAGAGGAGCCGATGGCATTCTGCGGCCTTTCCCGACACCATTTTGCTTCAGCTGTCGTGGGATTTCAGCGCACCCATCGCCTCACTTCCGCAGATGGCGTATTTTGTTGGGTGGCTTCCATCGCGCGATTGTAAGCTAAAATTTTGCGACAATCTCGACAAAAAGTTTCCTCTAGAATAGAACGTAGCTCCATGTGATTCACAAGCCTCGCTGCTCGACGGGACTGGTGCTCGCCAATTTTACTAGAAATGTAAACTGAGAGCTCTGATTTCAGAAGGAGTCGATTCTCGCGAGATCGCTTCCTCGCGTCGCTGGAGTTAGAATTAGGGTTTCTGGGTTTTGTCTCGACGGTTTCGAACCCTTTCGATTTTACCTCATTTGCAAGTCGATTTGAAGTCGGTTTTCCAAGCATCCACTTCTTTTTCTGACGTAGTTTTGTACTTTAGGTTTGGAAGGAGTTCAACGCCGCATGAGCATAGTTCAAAATTATTTAGGAATACATGTATGAAATATGAATATATATATATGTATATATACTATTGTCATATGTAAATCTTTAAATTAATTTTTCTTTTCTTAATAATACTTCATGTAATAAACCTAAATAGAGGTGTTTGCTAATTGACTATCAAAGGGATATCTTTGAAAATGTAAGTTTTAAATAACTTGATAATAAGTTATAAATTATTTTAAAACACACTAATAATAATTTAAATTTAAATAAAAAATTACTAAAGTATAATGATATAAATTATTATATTTTAAAAAATACATTTTTCATTATTTTAACTAATAATTGAAACATATTAATTTATAAAATTAAATAAGTATTCAAAACATATATTTTTTTAATATATCATACAAGTATTCTTTAATACTTTATATTATTTTTTCATTTTTATTAAATAATTCAAATCAACAAAAAAAAATTGAAATATTCTATAGTATGAAATTAATATCATAAGTTGTGTTTATTGAAAATGTACAATAAAAACATACACTCAATCTATATTTGAGTTATTGTATAAGAAAATTAATATTCAATTAAATATCTCTACATATATAATATGACACCCAAAATTTGGGATATCTTGATAAGAAAGAATTTATAAATGTATAGCAAAGATTGTTTGAGGCAATGTAAAAGAAAACATATTTTTATAAGTTCAAGTTGACTTAGTGATTTTGGTAGCTTTAGATGATAATTATGAAATTTCAACATTTACAATTTTTTCAAAAACAAAATTGATTTTTTGTAATACAGAAGAATTTATCAATATATTAATTAAAAACCTACTCAATTTATACAATATTTTATAATTATAATGTAAGAATATATATATTTTTAGCATACACAGAGTAATATTATTTTATCATTTATTTTTTAATAACTATAAAACAAAAGTATCGAAATAATATTTAAATAAAAAATACTCTGTTTATTGAAATAATATTTAAAAATACTAATTATTTAAAAGAATTTTTTTATACAGTTATTGTGTAAGAAAATACTAGAGAACAGACATTTTGTTAAACACCCATGTTCAATTAATCAATTCAAATAATTCTTTAAAATATTAAAATACCTCTTGATTGAAACATAGTTGACAAATTTAAAAAACCGATTAATAAACTCAATCAAATTGAAAACTGAAACCAAAATGACATATGGTCATGTTCTTTTATTATTCAACAACAAATAAAGACTTGGATAGATGCAATCATTTCAACACCACAAAAGAATTTGAGTTGAAAAATAAAATTTTAAAAAGAAAAAAGAAACATGTTTTCATAACTAGATTAGTTTTCAACCAGCTCTTTCAGGTGCCAAAAAATTCAAACACAAGGTAACTTACTAAAAGAGATAGAAAACACATTTGATACTATTTCAGCCAAACCATCCATGTCATATAATATAATTCATTTAGGGTATTGCTAATGTCATCATAGTTTTTGCTACATATGTGATCCACAATACTATTTAAAGTATTGTAAGAATGACCAACTCTTATGTGCCAATAAAATGTGATAAAAGTATTAGAAATATTAACAAGGAATTTTATTGGAATAAAAAAACAAAAAACCAAAAAAAAACAAAATGTCAAATAAGTGGCAGGTTGTGGTGGCAGTAGTAAAAAGTGTGGTAACATCAACAATACCCTTCATTTATTTTACAACACCATCAAACAAGAAGAAATATGCAAGAGTCTTGTATCTCTTACAAGACCACTCCTCATCACACCATTGCACAACAAACACATGCCTCTCATTACACAACACTTCTGGAAGTGTGTAGAGTTGACACCATTATCAAATAAGTTACAAGCGAAGGATCAGAGTATAGGATAAGGAACAGAACATGGTTCAATTGCTGCAGCCATGTCGTGAAGCATAACAGATTGCAAAGTTGGAAGTCAGGATCAAGCTAATTAACATATGTGGACTGATAGTGCTTGTTGCAAAGCCTGTTCGGGTGTGTGGGGATCAGAATTCCAAGTGGGGTTCAGTCCCAACAGGTTGAAATGACTCAACAGTTTTTCATAGACTTGAATCCCTTGGACTTGACTGTCCGAGATTGGAACCAAACAGGCCATGGCAACCTTTGAAACAGTCATGGGGAGGATTCGTGACTCTTGGACATCAAGAGTGATCTCAGGGTTTGGGTCTTCCTCTGGGAAAGAACACAAATTGCTGCAATAAGCTTCATCAACCTTCATGCCAACAACCTGGAATGGCGTCAGAGATTTTTGTGTTCCTTTTAGATGCTGTTTACAGGAAAGTTTACCACGAAACAGATTTCGTGTACTAACTGAACGTCTCCGAATGGCCTGTAAAAAGCATGCATAAGTTGTTGCTACTCACTTGATAGTAAAAGTTGCTTAAAACATTTGACATACAAAACAATAGAAACGGAATGCTTGTCAGTATGATCAAGCAATGTGGTAATATACTTGGATCGAAACCGGCACCGACTTCGTACACTTCAAAAGGTTTGACGATGCTAGCCAAGGTGAGTTCGCATCACTGGCTAAGAATTGCAGATCCCTGATCGTTACACTGTACAATTGATACACATGGTCAAGTAGAATGATTGGAGTAACCCTGGTAAGAGAATCAACGTGAGAGATGCAAGGCCATTTGTGGTTATGATACATTTAATGAATTTACAAGAAATTCACAAGCGGATGGCTAGAGGGTGATTGCAGAAAAGAAAAAGAGCGAGAAAACAGAGGGCATACAAATGTAGCCGAGCTAGACGAGCATATGTGCGGAGAAGAGCGTCAAAAACCACACCGAAGAAGCGCAGGCGCAGGCGGAGGCGAAAGACACGACTCAATGCACGACGTGCACCCCAAGCTCGACTAACTCCTCGATCTGAATCAACTTCAGTGCAGGATAGCGATTCAGACTCTGAGAGTTCCTTCAAAAGGACACGCAAGAGTGCACCAAAAGAGAAAGCAGACAACGCGAGTGTTTCGAACAAGAGACCATGCAGGCGCAGGGCACGAGAGAAAAACAATGAAACCACAAAACAATCAATGTCTGAATCTTTTCAGAAGTCGATACCAGCAAGCAAATACATTTCTTTTGACGCTTACCAGTAGGTGTCTAAATCCCTCATAACCTAAATCACATGAATAATCCCATTTCACCCGCAGTTACTCGACCAGCGAAAGAACTTCTACAACGGCATTGCAAACCCAAGTCTGCTGCTACTACTAGATCTTCCTCAGAATGAGCAAAGTCGATACAGACTAGTGTAATAGAACTGCCTTTTTTCTGATAGAACCGTGATGAGAACAGGATTAGTAATTAATTAAAGTAAATCATATCACACCACACCTCTTAACTTTTGGTGCTTATGTGAGTGCTTCTCAGGGCTGCTGTTGAAAAGTGGAACTCGGATATGACACAAGCGCAATTGGAGGCACAAGGCGTAGGAGGTGCAGCGTTTCCCCCTCCAGGATCAAAATCCTAGAGTTTCCAAAGCAGCTATCATCCCTGTGACAAATCTCCTTGTCAGGAAGGAAACATCACAAACCATCGAGTATTGAGCCCCGGGTTAATTTTTCAGTCTTGAGTCGACTGAGTAGTGCAAAGAAAGCAGAGTTACTTGTACTATGTAAACGAAACTTATAGAATTATTTCTTGTGGACATATCTGAGCCAAATGCTCAAAACTGTCATGTAACAAATCAGGAGAAAACTATGATGGGTGAAATTGAAGAAATCATGATATCGTGATGCATCGCACTGGCCTAAACTTCACATTATAAAAGATGCCTACAAAACCATACTTGGGTACTTATAAAGCCCAACCATTTGGTTACCGAACCTATTCCACCAAATTAATTGAGGCTCTTAATGAGGAGACGCTCACCGCCCGAACTAACTGCATAGTCGAGCTCTGTCGTCATTTGAGACTCAGAGGCTACGCTAATCAGCTGTCCAAATACTCACCAGCCGCAGCATTGGATTCATACAAACAACTTCCACCAGTGCACCATTCAGAACAAAATGGCTACTGGGTCGCATGGCTTTACAAGGGAATTTCTGCCAAACAATGTTCACGTCGTCGGAAACAGAACCTTCAACTCAGGTTGGACCGTAACAACTCAGCGAGAATTCACAAAAACAACTACTCCTGGCGCTTGCTTAATTTCTTATAGTAAATATGTTAAAGAAGAGTGAGTGGGATGTTTGAGTTCGCTATAATGTACAGTTATGCGAATGCTGTGTCCGACTGCTGCGACAAGGCTACGAAATAGGACTCGTTGCTGAGGTCGTCGTCGTCGTCTCGTTCGAATCTGATCCAAGTGTCGTCTGCGACACTTCCATTCGGGGGCGGAACAAAACCTCAGTCTCCGAAATAGGTCGCAGATTCTCAGCTGGGCACTTGTTAAGAAGGATCGCTCGATCCGCGCTTCGCCAGTTCCAGCGACCTCCTATCACTGATTGGCATTGCGTGCACTGAGGAATTAAAGAAATGGACTTCCTCTTCTGCGATCAACGGCATTTGAAAATTTGGCCTCGTCGTGTCCGCCCACCTCGCCGCAGTTTCCGATGATGCAAATCCTTAAATCCTCGAACCAGGTATGCAATAGAAACATGCCACGCGGATGAATGTTCTGTGGTAGAATTTTGAGTGAGTGAGCATTCCATTACTAACCCAGTGTTTTGTTTCACGATTTTGTTTAAAAAACCAAAACATACAAATTGTGAATAGAACTTCTCGATATTGAATAAATGGGGAGATAATTTGTGTTTTTTAGACTGTTTTTGGTTAAGCGAATGTGTTGTAGAGAAATTATCCAAGGATTGAAGAATTACAACGTAAAATTGACAGGCTATAAAGGAGCTATAACAATTTGCTTGCACAGTTTTCTTCAAAAGATAAAGTGAGCGGGTCAGTGAATATTAAATTTCGATAAGAATTCTCAAAAAATAATACGCAATTTCAAATGATTGTTAGATTGAAAATTTGTATCTTTTAAGATTTATATCTTAACACCATCTATCTGAACATATGAATCAGGTACATAAAAGGTTCCGCTTATTGACCTTAACTTTTAGTGACAATTGAAATTGCAATCAAACAGAAAATTTTGATTCAAAGTGGTATTTGAAATCATGCCATGTTCCATTATTAACCTTCAAGGGCTAAATATTAACTGTTGTCCATCAAAAACCTTCAATCAGGTAAACTTGGGTGGTAGATTATGAAAACATAATGCAAATGTGTACATCTGCACGTTTGCACACAATCTCGATTTGCGTAGTCTCTACACCAGTGTGCAAACTTCCGGCACCCTCTACTATAAAAGAATTCACCCAAGTCAACAATAGCTTACAGTCACCTCCAATTTGAACATTATTTGTGATGTGAAACGATTAAAACCATCACCACATGATTCATCTGCAACACATATTTACCTTGAACACACCTCGTACATTGAGTCCCGGAAAGGATTCAAAAGCTCACTACAATCCTAGAGTACCTGGACTCGAGTATTTCTTAATTAAACGGGAGCTATACTCCAATTCACAATGGCTGCTTTACTGTGCACTGTCTGCAAAGAACACTTCTCCTGCAGGTTGTTATCAACTGTGAAGGATAAGAGTCTCGAAAAGCATCACCCCAGTGCCCACATCATCTCTCGCTTTGTTTCCATTCGGAAGGTGGGCAAGCACCACAACTCAAACTCTTTAAGTATCGTCCAAGGACGACTTATGAATCCTCGACTCCAACTCGTCCAACTCGTCCAAGTCCAACTCATCGTCATCGTCTGCGAATAATTCCTCATCTTGCTTGCTGATCCCCGCTCTTTCCCAACTCGGTTTCTCTTGAGCCTGACACGATACATAATGGTGTCAGCTCTTCCATAAACATATCCAGCCCGAACGTTATTTTATACCACACGAACCATTTCCAGTACACCAAGTTCATAATTTTAAAATAGATTATTAAAATTATTTGCAAGGTAGCATTATGACAGATGATGAAAAACAACATACTAAGAGGAATGAATTCTTCCAAGCTATAAAGCAAAACACATAAGGAGACATCACCACCTGCTGAGTAGAACTTGAAGCCTCTCCTATTTCGGGTTCTTCTTCCCGCGTGTAGGAGTCAAAAGCTTCCGCGTCGTCCACAAACAAACTGGCATCAGCAAGAAAGAGTTCCCGGCCACTGTTTTTGACACAAAACAGCACCAGCTAGATTAGCCAGAATCACATCATAGAGAAATGCTCCGGGACGAAAAATGAAGCATTACACAATACCAAAAAGAAATAAAACAAATAATAAAATGACATGGAACATTGATTCGGAAGAATCTGGGAACTAATTGTAAGTGATAATGCTACCAACAAGATAGGACGCGAAAGTCTGGCTCTCTCGGCCACGGAAGTAGACTCATGCAAATAACATACCTCATTCTGTCAGTTCTCGCCCTCTCCGCTTTCCTGGAAGCTAATTCAGCATCCCGTGCTTCTAGTTTCTTTCTTTTCCATTGTGCAAATAAATCTTCCGTCATGGGCGTTGTGGTCTTGGTCATACGCCTCTTCAGAAACAGAAGCAAGATCACCACTAAGCACTATGATGGTGATTTCAACTGTAATTAACTAGCAACACTAAAACTCCTTAAGTAGAATCAGGAGGTGAGACAAGATGTTCACAAGCCAGAGCCAACACATGATTCTTCGATAACCACTATGCACCATACCTGGTTTTCAATTTCTTCCTCAATCGACAGCTTCTCACCCTCCTCTTCAAGCAATGCCTTCATTTGTGATTTCAGGACGTAACCGGGGGGCAAAGCATGTCGGTAATGGCACTCCTTCCCACCATTAGGGCACGTCCAGAACCATCCATACTGCTTCTTCTCGACAGCGTCTAAGAAATGTTTGCACACCTGAACAAATTGAAGGAAATCTTCTGGTAAGGTGCTACTCTCATCCTCTACACATGGAATAGCAACCACATACACAGTTCTGCAATCTAGTTTTCTTAAGGAATTGCTCTACTGGGAAAAGATAATGAAGCTGTGCAATTACCACCGAAGAGGATTGCATGAGAAACGTTGATAAACTATAAAACTATAGAAAACAGAAACAATATAGTTATTCTAAACGACGCATGGTTAAGTGGGTGTGAAATGTCAAAAATGTATACAATTTCCGTAGGCTTGTTGTGGACGAATTCATTCCCCTTGGCTGCCACCACTTTCTCAAGAGTTTCTTGATCCCATTCATCCATATTTTCTGGGTGATTGCAATCACAAAAGTCAGCCTAGGAATGAGTGATTGAAGACCCTATCTGTATTCCTAGTGCGGCAACTACACGTCGTATGAAAAAGACAAAAACAATTCATGAAGCTTACCCTCCGAATCACGCTGATCGCTATAGATATCGATTTTCTCCCCCTTTCTTTCTACACTCAGATCATGCGAAAACTTGCACTTGAAACCCTTAGCACATTGCCCATGTCGGAAAAACTCACAAACAACTGATTTAGGGTCAACACCTGCCCCAAGTAACAAATACATCTAGGTCAGAGAGTGAAAAATTACGATATTTCTACGAATAACCCTCGACAAACAAATCGACAATTGGCGATACGAAAAGCCAAAAGAAGAAAACTCAGCCACATGAATTGGATTTAATGCAACACTAAGCATACCCACGGGAACCTTGGGTTGGCTAATGGCCACTTTGAACAACTCATTCAATTCCTTATCCCTCGCAGCCTCTTCTTCTTTCTTCTTCTGCACACATATAGCAGGGTGTAATCAAGAATGCCAACAACGCAAACACCTAATCCACAATCCACCGGCAGGCGGAGAAGAACCAGCCCATCATCACCATCTCAACGCAACCCAATTCCACGATCACATAACCACCTGAATTCCCAAACGCCTAAATAAAAACAACACAAATTCCGAGGTGGCAAACCGCAAAACACAATTCCCAGTGGCAACAACCCCAGGATTGAATCCGAGAAGCTGTGCTAGCTAACCTTGGCAGCGGCTTTGGCGTCGTCTCCCCGCTTAGGCCCTGCATTCTGCACCGACTGATGCAAGCTCTGCACATACTTTTGCACGTTCTTACTCTTGTTTTTATTCTTTAGACCAAAGGTTTTGTCCTCCACCAGCTTCTGCTTCTTCGCAAGGTCTGCCTTCGACTTCTCCTTGCCGCCGCCCTTCGCTGCTGCCTTTGGGGGCATGGTGTCTCTGTTCCACCGACTCTAACTCTCTCTCGCTCTCTCTCTCTCTCGCTCTCTCTCTCGCTCTAGTTATCCCGCCCTAGTCTACCAAAAAACTGCACCAAAAGCTTCACAGACCGAGCTCGAGGCAATCGTGCCCTTGCTGATGCTCTACAATCCTCTACAATCCTCGCATAACTCGATTGCGCGAGGCCTTTGCGTGCAGATCCATGCGACACTGCGACCATCGAAGCTGGAGCGCTTGAGGACCGAAATTAGGGCATGGGGACCGCGCTTAGGTGCCTCTCTCGGTGCGCGGGTTTGGGGTCCTCCCCGGCAAATGGCTCTGGAACTCAGCCTGGTTATCAAAATTGGACTCCCACCACATTTTTCATGGTTAGAGTGTACTCGTAGTATAAAAAAATGAATTTTAAATTCCTTATTTTTATTTTATTTTTATTATTTTTTAGATGATTTAAAATAAAATAAATTCATCTTAATTTAATAAAAACTTTGTATTTTTGAAATCCAAATTCAATACAAAATATGTTGATAAAAGTGGGTCTTTGTGATTTTAAATTATATAATGTGATTTTATGTTTAAATTAATTTTTTTCTTTTCCTTTTTGATAGTTTTTTTCTCTTTAAGATTCATATTTTTTAATGAATTATTGTTCATAGAGGTAATATTATATCACTTTTGTTTAATTTACTGGTTTATTCTATTACTAATATATATATATATATATATATATATATATATATTGAATTTATTCTATTTTTAAAGTAAAAAAAATCCATACTTTTTAATTAAAAAATCAAAACCAACTTAGCTTTTTCTTTTTTTCTTTTTTTCTTTTTTTCTTTTTTGAATCTAAATAATGTGTTCTAGAAAAAAAACGGTTATGATTATAATTTTTTATGTATGGAAAACTTATTATTGTCCATTAATGATTTACTTTGACATGTTACAAAGTAAGAAGCATCATTGCTAATCAAATAAACACCTAAAAAATGTTAAAAGTTAAGGAGCTTGGATAAATTAAATTACAAATAATCATGTTATCAAATACATGTATTTTAATTTCTTCTGAATAATTTTTTATTATGAAAAATACACAAAATGCTTTAGTATTTTAGTACTTTTTATCAACTTTAAAAGAGTCCATAAACGACATATACATTCAAGTTCAGCTTGAAATACAATTATTCAAACTTAACACTGTGGTTTGCTTGGACCCATTGTTTTATAAACTATATATACATTTATAAAAATAAAAATAAAAATAAATATTTATTAAAATATTTGATTCTCAATATGATAAACCAAATTTTGGCATACTTGATTTCATAATTGTATTTTTGGAAAAATAATGTGATATCAATTCCACTTTTTTAAATCAGATTTTAATGTTACATATATATTAAGATATTGCTTTACATGTAATAACCCCACAATTTATTGAAGTATTTGTTTCACTTTCAAATCTATAATTAAATTGTAATTAAGAAAATTAAAAAGCACAAGTACAACATACAAACATGCACCAAAAGATGAATAGATTGTAATTTATACATCCCCTGTGTGTAAATTGCTTTTTGAGATCTTATGATACAATCTTGAAAGTGGGTAGTGATGGTTAAGATATGAAAAGTAAAAAAATGATTTGAAGCTCCTTCATTATATTACAAATGTATTCTGTAAATCAAATAATTTTCTTCTGTTCGTATGATAATATTTTAAGACACATATTTCTTTAAAATGCATTGTCTAAGAGACTGATTTGTATTTTTATTTTTGTATGATACATATTTTAAGGGGGAAAGTGGATTGATTTAGGGTTCAAATTTTTGTATAATTCAATTACCATCATGTCAGATTTGCAAACAAGTGAACCTTGGCCAACACTATTAAAATATGCAGCACCTTCTATTATACCTGATGTAAAGGAAACTCAAGAATCTAAGAATAGAAAGAAGGTACATGTATATATATTTTATAATTGTTTTTCGGATAAAATTTAATTAATTGAATATTAGAGACACAAGATATCATCAAGTACGGAGTCTTGGTTTTTAATATATATATATATATATATATGATTATTTCATTAAATGTTGGGTTTTTTCATTTATTTATTCTTAAAAATAGTGTCTTTTGTGTATTAATGATAAAAGAAGCCGCACCCACCAAGTGATCAAAAGCCATCTATAACACAAGTTGAAGAAATTCTTGATTCCATTTTACCACCTCGGTAATCTTTGATTTGAACTTCAAAGTAATGTATCACAAAAATCTTCCATGATGATTTAAATAATAGATGTAATTTTTTGTTGTTATATATATAGTCTTATTTTATTTTATTTTAAATATTGTATTTAATGCAGACAATGGAAAGTTGGAGATCAAAGTTGGATTCAAAGGGTTTCAAGTGCACCAGCAACACGCTTGGATGTCATTCAACTTCAAGTAAGCATTTAAAATTTGAAGTCATGACGTTTGAGTGAACATTCCATTGAGATATAAATCAATCAAGTAATATTTTTTTGTTAATAAATAAATAAATAAAAAACAAAATTTTCCACGGTGGAGATTGTGTTTATGAATTATGTAATTTAAAAGAGGTCTGGTCAATAATAAGGATCATCATTCGACTTCATCAAACAAAATGTCACTTGTTCATATGTAGATAAGTATGTTATTGAGTTTTTATGCACACTTGTGAACATGTTTTAATAATAAACCTAAATTTCATAATTAGTATGGAATAATGCCAATGCACAAATTGTTATTATTTTGTGTGTCATTTTATAAATTAAGCAATTGATTATTCTAGAACCACAAAAAATTACAAAAAATGATTATAGTTTGTGTAGTTTTTATTTTTTATTTTTTATTATTATTTTTTATTTTAAATGATGTGTGGATATAAAATTTAAGTATTTTAAATATTAAAATCAAATGAGCTTATTGGAGTTGTTATATATATATATATATATATATGATTTTATTCCAATAATTTTTTATTTTAAAATTTTATTTTATTTTTTTGTACAAAATTTTTACAATCAAAATGCTAAATATTCTTGATATAATAAAAATAATATATATATATATATTTATTTATTTACATATTTATATTTTAATATAAAATTTAGGAAAAATTGGATCAACAATTAGAACATCGTCAAGCACGTGAAGTAGGAATATGTCCTATTCGTGAAGAGCTCTATGGCCAAGTAAGTCTTTTAGACAAATGAACTATCTCTTTATCTACAACTTAAATTAAGTACAATTAACTTATCTACAATTAAGTTGTTCTATTATGCAAAAACAAAAGAACAGAAAATTAAACAAACTCATTATAAATTAGAATATTATGTATTCGTTTCATCAAGAACTCAAGATGATGAATCATAAGTGCATCTTTTAACAAAATGCAAAACTTTGTTGAACATGTTTTCAATTATTTTTAGAAACTAACATTATTGAGAAGTTCACCTTGTGTGTATTTTAGTGTGGTATTTACAAAATTATGTTAGTGGTTAAATGTTTAAGAACAAGAATTTAATCTGAGTGTTTTTATTCTTTATTTTTTATTAAAGTGTTTTGATGAGTTGATAAGACAAGTTTGCATCAATTGTGCCGAACGTGGACTTCTCCTCCTACGAGTCCGAGATGAATTGCGCATGGTATTTTATCATATTTACTCCTTGTTGAATCTACACTTTTGGGTTTGATTTTAGGGTTAAGTTTACTGCTATGTCTCAAACATTTTTTTATTTCATGCACTAAAACTGTGAATTTTAATGGTATTATAGTATCTGTACAATTAGAAATTGGAAATCTCACCAATGCTTGAATACCAGTTATTAAATTTAATGATCATGATTACAACTATCACAATTCTTTCTAAGAATTGCTATGGTTGATAGTGGTGTGTGTACTAGACTGATTATTTTTAATTCTGCATGGGACATAACATAAACATGTATGTTATTTTATCCTGCAATTATGCACATTATTGAAGAAAAAAATAGTGGGCGAGCAATAATTTTTTTCCTTCGGTAAGATTTCACTTCTTCCTCTTAAATTAAAAATGGCAACATGCAGACGATTGCGGCATATCAAACACTTTATGAGAGCAGCATTGGATTTGGGCTAAGAAAAGCTCTGCAAACAGAATATGGAAAGACGCAGACGCAAGCCCGTGCCTCTCAGGTCAGCGGTTTTGTTCGAAGTCGTTGTTTAATGCAATTAAGGACGCCCAATTCAGTGTAGAACTTTGCAGTGATGTACATCTGATGAGAAACACTTCGGGTGTTGTGCAGTTAGAGGCAGAGATGCGGGAGTTGGATAGGCAAGTTGCAGAATGGAAGGTACTCACCACATTAAGATGCCACCCTACATAACTGTACAAGCATCCAGATTTGCAATTTACAGTTAAAATTAATTTTCTAAGAGAGGTGTTGCCAATCGTATCAGTCCACTCACTGCAATGATTTCCAACTATCAATACAGAACAAGTGCGAGACAAACGAGAAGAAGATGATGGAAACGAAGATGTACGAAGATAAGAAGCATGCCGAAGAAGTAGCATACTTCAGTCGTTCCAACAAGCAGTTAAAAGCTCAGCTTGAGGCGTTCTTGGCTCCAGCTAAGAAATAAGCTTGTCATTGCGTCAGCAACGCACATGGATGAGCTCAGTGCCATCAACGTTGAGAACAAAGAGGTTCATATTTATGCTCTCGACACTCATGGTGGTAGAGAAAACCTCAAATTGTTCATGCATGTCGCTTTCACTTGCAAATAACACTCTACTAACGCTGATAATTTTGGGGAGACCCAACCACAACATAGTTTTCTTTTAATCAGCCAAATATGAACAGAGTTCAGAAAAATCCTTCCTGAACAGTCACACTAACTGACTGCTTACAAATAATGGTTCAGAGACATTAAGAAACAGTTGGTTGGGGTATGCTAGGAATATATTCAGAACTTACAAACTAGATGCACAATATCAATGTAGTAGATAATGATCGGTTATGTGATGAAAATTACTTCGAATGACTGAACACGACCAAATAAATGGAATCTTACCCGTTCACTTGACTGCAGTAATTCCAAATCTGATTAGATATCAGATAGCTGTCAAGCCGTGAAGGCTCTGGTCGAGTTTTAAAGATAGGATTGTTCGGTTCTTCCTCAGGAAGTGGCTCCTCTCCAGCAGCTCTTCGGGCAGCATTCTCAGTTCTGATAAACCAAATTCACAATGTCTCAACCAATCTAATTGCCAAATTCCTTTCATCATTTCAACATCTGTTATAGATTGAGAACAGTTTATACGAACATCACAAATAATATCGACGTTGACGTAAAACATGAAAAGTATATACTACTACTGCAACTAATAATAATGATAAATGCAACCCATAAAACCTTCTCTTTTGCAACCAGGTTTGTTGCTGAACTTGCTGCCCTGACAAGTTACGTAATGATATTGGAACTACACACGTACATGCATCAGAGTTGATTAATGGAGTTTCTTCACAATGCGACCTGACGAATCACATATGTGATGAGCAGTGCCATTAGCTACGCTAATTGCATGTCAACAGAATAAACACTCATTCATGCATCAGTAAACAATGGTCCAAGTTAAAATTCGGATTCAGGGTCTCGTCATGTTCAAACGAAACTTAACAAAATACGATAGGAGTAGTTAGGATTGTTAGAGGCTCACAACATAGTCGCAATTGTCAAAAACGACATGCCCTCTGCTGCTCCATGGAAAGATCGTCCATACACATGATCAAAAATTTCAGATTCTTTTCCATGAAAGGATTTGTGGATAGGACGAGTCTATCAAAATCGCACTGTACAAGTCCACCCAACTCGCAAGTCGGTGAGTAAATAACGACAACGAGAATCCAAGGCAGCAATCATGAAGGCTCAAGAATCCACATCTGAACATTTTGTTGTGCAATTCGAAATACCTGAGTAGCTTGTACGTCGGGTTCCAGCTCAGTCATCATGGAACTCACAAGCGCAAAGTTGCAAATTTTCACCTACGATTACGGCGGATAGAACATAAATAAAAATGGCAGTCAAATGCAATACCTGCAGCTGCAAACGCATGCGAAGGTCACATGTGTTAAAAGACGTACTGGAATTTCCTCAAAAACGTCTTTCAAGGTTGAATTCTTCTCCCTCAGCCTGCAATATCGTAAAACATGCCTAGTCAGAAGAATTCGTACATTATAACAGACAAATGCAATTCAACCTCTAAAGAATACTTGTTCGAATGAATGATATAACGAAATGACATGCAAGGATGTGGACAAAGCCTACATCGGATAGACTCACTTCCCCCCAGAAAAAATTTTGGGTGCAATAGAGCTCCATGAAACCTTCCGCTAGCTTCAATGCTTTCAACGCCAACACTCCTTGGCTGGAACGAAGAGGATCATAAATGATGCAAACACATCTTTTGATGTTCTCCTGCGACGAAAGTCTTGTAAGAGGAATGGGAACCGAAATATTGGAAGTGTGACGAAAAGAAAAGGTCTTATGAAAATAGGTCATCCGGCAGAATCTCACCTGGTAATTCATAAGCGTCTCGATGAGCTCCACAGTTTGGAACGACCCCATGTATGTTGATTGATACCTGTGATCCAAAAAACGGGACGGGTTGAGCTCTACACAAAAGAAGAGGAACAAGAAAGGAGGTGCAATTTGAATTTCGCAGCAATTTTCTCATTCAACATAATAAACTCATCGAAGTAAGCTGAATTTCATTCTGAATGAAGCGGATTCGTACATTTGAACCTGGTAAGATGATGAATCAACACCAAGACTAACTAATCCGCCAACAGTAATTACGTCCCAGCAGGATTTCTTCAACAATTAAAATTCTACATTCAGTATGAATCAAATCATTGGGATACTACCTTACAACAATTGCACAATATACATCCGTAACTCCTACACTATTTACAAAAATTATACAACAAACGAAAATAACAAAAAAGGAAAAACTAAGGTAGACTCGTCTACAGGACATTCTGCTTCTTTACACAACAAAACCTTAGTTCCGAAGCGTCATCAATCACTGGACGAGGCGCGTTTGATCAAAGCACAAAGTCCTCAAGATCCCCTTGTATTGATGTGATTAAAACCTATTAATATTGCAATATGGACGTACTAAAATCATGGAAACCGCTTCAGCAGAGATCCATCCAGCACTGAAAAAAAAACATCAGCAAGGGACATACCAGAAATGGAAAGCAATTGGTGACTTCGAGGATGCTTCCGATGTGAAGTCCAAGCAGTTGACCTGTCACGAGCGCAGGCATGCACTCCTTGCAACGCTTCACGATTTTCAATGCGACCTGCACAACAAGAACAGAATTACAAGCAATTACTACCAAAAACTCAATCGAATACCAAAGTAAGCACAAGAAAAAAACACGGCTCTTCCGCAACACACACATGAAGGGTCAGGGGCAGCATACCGAGCCCTCGATCTGGACCGTCCTCAAGGGCACGGCCTCCGTCTCTGTCTGTGCTGCCTGGGCGAAGGACCGCATTGGAGCTGCCACAAAAATCCACCAATAAGCTCCAAAACCAAGAACAACAACCGCAGCAGCGCGGTGTCACTGAGTGAAACTTCAAATCTCTAAAACTCTGCCAAAATGCACCAAACAAATTCAAAAGCTTCAGAGCTTTGGGAGGGAAACTTACGAGGATTTCCGTTCGCTATGGCCAGAGCGAAGTGGCAACACTTGAGAAATCGACGGATTGCTCGACAAGCTGCTCCGAGTGCAGAGACTTGAACAAAATGGATGAATTAAATCATTCGTTCAAGGATGAAAGTATATACATATATTTTTTTTCTTCTTCTGTTCCTCCTCCTTCTCCCCCACACAGAGACACAGTCAACTGAGGCGTTGTGTGTATCTCGCAAAAATCCGACAATGGACCAGTTTATATCGGGTTGTTGTGAGCACTCTTTTGTATTCGTGAATTAGGCTTTGCAGTTCGCTGTTCTTTGGTGCCTTTTTCGGTGTGAAAGTGGCATAATCGTAATAGGTTTGACGGAGTCTGCAATCCGCGCTGTCTTAAACCTAGTGGGGATCGTCAGGGGTTGAGAAGGTTTTGGGAGGGAAGATATGATGAGCCAACGGCAGCTGGTGGTGGCCGTGGAGGCCACGGGAGCGCTGGGTCCGTTCTGGTCCGTTCTGCTCACTGAGTATGTTGACAAAATCGTCAGGTTGTTCCAATTCCTTAATCACCTCCTTGTGGAATTGTGCTGCATCGTATTTTGAAGAATTTTTTCCTTTTTCTGGTGTTGTGTTCTGTTTTTGAAATTGGTGTATCTGTCCCTTCATGAGTAAGTTTTCATATTAGGGTAGATTTCTAATGTATTCAAGTTTGTTCGATTAACCGGAATTTATTACATATCCAATGGAGATCGATGTGTAGATGCACTTCCGTTAGTCAATGCGGTTTACACCACCGGCTTACATGAATTGATGATAATTCTCTTACTGAAGGCATTGCTGATTTGTAAAATCATGAGTATTCTTGCCTACACGATGGAATATTGAATAGAAGGCATATAGCAACGTTAACTGTAATTCATCAAGATTCTAGAAGTCCTTGACTTTCATAGTTGTAATTTATGGTTCTCAGCGTAGATTAGATAGACGGATTCTTCTTAGTCCAGGGAACAAGTTAATGATTCTATTCAACTCTAAGTTTGATGTTTACTTCTTACAAGAAAGTATATGTTGCTTATCATCAGGATTTTCGATCTAAGTGTGCTTTTTTCTCTCAGCGTTAACATGATATGTGTTGTTTTTGGTTGGCTATGTTGATGTAGAGCATTTTTTGACGAGTCGAATAACCAGGTAAATTCACACATTTATTGTAATAACCTGTCGCGTTTTAGGACAGCAATGCTGATTTTTGTACAGGGTAGTTTTGTATGACTTATGAATACAACTAGCTCACACAGTTCAATATTTAATCATTTTGTAAACAATGCGCAGAAAAATGGTTCTTCACCTGGAGAAGTGGCTTTGGTTGTCTTCAACACTCATGGATCACATTCTGGTATTCATTGTTTTGTATATTGTTCACCTCTGTCTGTGATAGTTTCTCTAATGCAATAAACTTGGGTTTAAGTGTTGACGAACTTTTCATGTGTGGGTTGGTAGATTTTCTGCTCCGGCAAAGTGGGTGGACATCGAGTATGGATCTGTTCTTCAAATGGTTGTCGGCTTTAACTTTTGAGGGTGGTGGTTTTAGTGAAGCTGCTGTTGCCGAAGCTTTGGCTGAGGCCCTCATGGTAATGATCCTAATGTATTATGTACTCCCATCACCATGATTTCATGCTTCAATTTACTAAGATGCTCTTCTATGCAGGAATGGACAATTTCGTATGATTTGTATGAACTTAATCTGCAGGTTATTTGATTTTTCATGGCCACGCAGGATGCTCAGATTGAGGATTTCTGATATATTGGATTTGTGAATGATTTCGGTTTTGTATGTTCTCAAACTAGAATAGTTTGCCGCTTCTTGGTTATAACTTCTGAGCAGATGTGTTGTCCAGGACCCAAACCTCCGACTGTTCCTCATCAAAAGCATTGCCTCCTAATTGCAGCTTCGAATCCTTACCGCCTTCCTACGCCTGTAATGCGACCACCAGTCATTCTCCTGTCAACCGGACAAGCAGAACTTCAGTCCGAACAATGGTGGCTTGCGGATGCTGAAACAGTTGCGAAGGCTTTTCCACCAGTAAGGACATATTTCCTTTTGAGTTAGTTGTTTTGGTTGTATTGTAGTTGGAGGTGATCTGTCATGATTTTGAGCACAGTGGTCGATTGTGAATTGCGGAATTTCATTTTCATGAAGAGTCGTACTGTACTCTCTCATGTTTTCTGTTGCACTGTACAACTACCTATGGAACATTGAGCAGCAATGAGAGTAGTGTGGGATAATCTCAAAGCAACGTTAGAGAAAGCATCTTACGTAAGATATCCTACATGTCTGTAGTGCCAGGTGTCACTTTCAGTTATCGCTCCGCGGCAGCTTCCTCTACTCCGTTCTATTTATAATGGAGTATGGTCTCTCTCCCTCTCCTCGTATTGGTTATTCCCACCTATGTCATGGAGTTCCATTTCAGTGATATATGGCTAAGAGGTCCTGACCTACTGGATATATGCTAGCTGCTTTACCTGCTGCTACTAGTAGTGTAAATAGTTGATGCTTCCTTGGAAACTAGTAAAGTTGTTTGTTCTCATACTGAAACAAATTTCTGGCTCTCTCATTTTTAGCTTCAAGTGCTGATGGCAGGCAAAGCGAAATCCGCGGGCTGCTGATACTGGACCTGATTTTTCTAAGCTACACTTAGTCTTAATATCTGAAGGATTTCCCGAGGGGAAATTAGCCCTTCGTCGGGCGTCTGGAGCGTCAAACACTGCTGTGTCGTCTAGCTTATCTGCGAAACTTGAGCCACTATTGGCTACCACTACTTCCGCTCCGTCCCAACCTGCTGTTCGTCCAATGCCACCATCTACTGGTGAGATCATCGAGCAGTACATTTACTGTAGTTTCTTCTCTCAAGCTGTTAGTTTTGCATCGATAGACTAAATCATTATAAGAAAGTGTGAAGAGTGTGTGAAACAAAATGGACATAGCTTTCTTGTATACATCTTCTGAATCTATGTTGGCATTTTGCTGCAGCTGTCGGAGCTATGATGGGTCGTCAAGCTGTTTCGAATGGATCTAGTGGTGTTACCATGGTAAGTTTCCACTGGCTGCGTTGGAAGGATTTCTTTGCATGTGCTGAAGGCATATTTTGGAAAACCAATTTTCCTTGGAAAGAAAAGCTCATCGTCGCAGAATGCTAATTTATTTTTTTGTGTTTTCGTTTGAAGAGCAATATGTTTAGAAGATCCTTTAAAATCTACACAAGATTTTCAACACTGTTAAACATTTATGATGTTTTGGACGAAACCATAATAAACTGAAGTTTAAGAATACAACGATGAACAGAATCAATTAAAAAGATCATCTGATTGCTGGTTTGTATAACCATAAGTCTGTTAACCGTTTCATGGAAAAAACCTCAACATTATTTTTTTGAAGTGTTCCGAGAATTCAATTTGTTCATACGCTTTTTGTTTGTTTTTGTTCGTCTTCTTCTTCTTCTTCTTCTTCTTCTTCTTCTTTTTTTTTTTTTTTTTTTTTTTTTTTTTCCTCAAATGAAGCTATTTCAATATAATTCTGTTTTCTCAACGGTTTTAAACCTTTTTTACTCAAATTTCCACTCACATATTTTGTAGCGTGCTTCAACATTAAATGTGTGAGCTGATTATTGAAGCGCAATGCGCCTTTGACCGACGATTGAACTCTTGGGCCCGGAAGGATTTAGGCACGTATTTTTCTGTGTGCAGGAGAACCAGTCGCTTTCGCATAATACCGTCGCTGCTGTACCTCTTCCATCACAGCATCCCTCATCTTCAGGTGTCTCCGGCACAGACACGATGCAGACTTCGGTGCAGACTTCTGACACGTCCGCTTCAAGTCAAGCCAAAGTTGGACCTGTTGGTGGAAATCCTTCTACGTTGGGTCATGTTGGTACACTTACTCAGCCACACAAGATGCCAGGAGGGGCTGTTGCGAATGGAGGTCCTGCCGTTCCGTCTGGCGCTAGTTCAAATCCAACAGCTCCTTCTTCCTTGACTTCAGGGCCAGCCACAATCATACCAGGCAATGGCAACGTACTTACCACGATAGGGTCGGCTACTACTGTAGGGATGAATACAGGAATTGGCCATAGCTCAATAGGTACTCTTAGTGCAAATGCAAACACAATTGCAAGTTCAAATCTTGTTGGACCCACTGGAAGTCTTGTTCCTAACCAGTTGGGGCCTTCTACAGTCTCTCCTCTGCAGCAAGGAGTGGGTCAACTTCCCGTAAGTGGCGCAGGTCAGCCTCAAGCTAAACCTTTGGGTGCAATAGCTGGAATGGGAGTAACAACAACTGCTCTTGGGACAGCTGGCGTCAATGCGGGGGTTAATTCAATGCCTCCTTCATCAGGATTTGTACAGCCCGTGCAACCTGTCCAACCCCTTGCCCCAGGAATACACGGCGTGACACAGACTGCACAGTCTGCAACACCGCCACAACAACCGTCCGGAAGTATGAAATACACTAAGCTTTGGGAGGTATGCCTTTTTTTTTTTTTTTTTTTTTTTTTTTTTTTCTTCTCCCATATGGGTCTCTCTGCGAAACAGCTCGAATGAAGAACTCAGGATCCCAGAGAAATGGCTTTGTAACCATGTAACTTTGTCATGTTTGTTTGCTTTGATTCGAGTATCATTTGGTTGTGATATGCAGGGTATCTTGGCCGGACAGAGGCAACAAAAGCCTGTACCGATCTGCAAGTTAGAGGTGTGTGCTACTCTTCACTTTTCATTACGTCACGGTCAGCAATCACCTGGTATTTGTCTTTGGTATCTGTATTCATTGGCCGAAATTTCCTCTTGTTCATTACTGAAAACTTCATGTACAATGTAAGCTTGTTCTGGTGCGTTTCTAAAACCATGTACGGAAAACTTATATTTTTTGCAACGGCTAATGTTTGTAATCATACTGTTTCTAAACAGGGTTACCGACAGACCTCCTCTTCTGAGAAGTATGTTGTGCTGCTTATATCATATTCTGAAAGACATTCAAGTTTCCATCTTCTCTTCGCTATTGAGGAGTCATGAATTGATCTTTTGAATTTGAAAACATCCTCCAATTGCATATAAATTGGTCTGAGTTGTTACATATAGCTCTGATTGGAGTCTGGTTTTCATGGATTTGACAGTGAAGACTTGATATCCGGCGTGCCTTTTAGTTAAGTGCTTCTCACACAATATTCATTAACTAAATACCGCAACGTTGTGATGAGTTTCTGATGAATCTCAATGTACAGGCTAGCTGCTGATTGGCCGCCCACAATGCAGATTGTGCGGCTTATTGCTCAGGAGTACATGAACAGCAAGTATGTCTTCCTACTTCCACATGGCAGTATGTTCTCGATGTTTCACTGGTGTCATACTTGAATGTATTTGCAGAGAGTAGTAAATATCAATCGACGAAGAGTTCGCATATGCCACGCATCTGGTTCTTAACGTGTGTTATAATTATCTGTCCCTTGGATTCCGACAGAGAGTATCAAGGCAAGGCAGAGCTTCTGGTGTTTCGGCCACTTTCGTCTCATGGATTTCTTGTTCAATTGGCTGAAAAGAAACTTGTAAGCGACTTTGAATTCCTCTCCATGTGTGTGTTAGTGAGATTCAGATACTACTAGCAACTAAATTCATATGACACAATTTTTTAGTGATGAATATGTTACTCCTGGGGTGGTCAAGATCTTCAGTGAAGTTAAAATGTTATCATTTAATTCCGTGGACTTACGCCGGGCAAGGTTGGCGCGAGTTTTATCTTCCAAAATGATGTTTCGTGTAAAAATGAAGTAAATATAGTGGCATTATGTAATATCAGATCACATAATAATATAAGTATTAAACAATCGTGTATAATACTTCAGCATATATTTGAACATACTACTTTCTGAGTGTTTGATCTCGCTCTCTTTCTTGCTGAAAATGTTTAGCCTTCTAACGAAAAAATGGATATGCAGTGTGCTGTTATCCAGCTTCCTTCGCAAACTCTACTTCTGGCGAGTACTGACAAGCCCGGCCGCATGATTGGAATGCTGTTCCCAGGGGTACTCATTTGGATTTCTCCACCTTTTGTCTATTATGATAAGCTGCGTGTAAGAAGACAAAGGAGAGATTTCTACTTAGTAAACGTAAAAGAAATATGATGATTTTGTTAACAGTTTTGCTCTTGGTGTATGACATGCGGTGCGGCGGTAGCAGTAGAAGGAACAATATTGCAGGGACGCTTTAACACAATACTGCGCCATGCCTGCTCTGAAAGTCAACCAACATCACGGAACTTTCTGGGGGTTTATGTCACATTTCTATTGTCGGAAATGCGAAGTGTTGTGTTTTCTAAAAGTACATGAGCTTGGATCTTGGACAGGACATGGTGGTGTTCAAACCGAATGTAGCACCTAGCTCTCAGCAGCCGACTGGAGCAGTTCCACCGATGGCCGGCACGGGTCAGGCCATGGGTCAAACGTTGGGGCAGTCTAATTTCTCACAAGGTCAGCTTCAAGCTCAGATGCATCCCCAACAGTTGAATGCTGCTCAACAAATGACTGCACAACAGTTGAATGCCCAGCAGATGGGCCCGCAACAGTTAAACTCCCAACAGTTGAATGCAGCACAACAAATGAATACGCAGCAGCAGATGAACGCTCAGCAAATGGGCGTGCAGCAAATGAATCCCCAGCAGTTGAATGCAGCACAACAGATGAATACGCAGCAACAGCTGAACGCTCAGCAGATGGGCGTGCAGCAAATGAATCCCCAGCAGTTGAATGCAGCACAACAAATGAATACGCAGCAGCAGCTGAGCGCTCAGCAGATGGGTATGCAGCAGATGAATCCTCAGCAATTGAATGCAGCACAACAAATGAGTACGCAGCAGATGAATCCTCAACAAATGAGTGCACAACAAATGAACCCTCAACAAATGAATGTGCAGCAGATCAATCCTCAGCAGATGAACGTGCAGCACATGAATACACAGCAAATGAGTCCTCAGCAGGCGCGTCCGCAGATCATGCCCGGGCCAGCCAGTTTACAAGGATCTGGATACTTACCATAGTCATGGGAATTGGTATGATACCGATTCTTTCTCTTGTAGTTGATTGTGAGGATGCGTGTCTCTGCTGTTTCCATCAGGTTGATGCCAAGGACAACATAGTTGTATATAAAAATGGATTAGTGGCTTGTAATTTACAAAGTTGCAATAACCTTTTAAAAAATTCTTTCTGTATCTTTTAGCCTTTTGAAGTGTCTTCTAAGTCTCTTTGCTTCATGTCTGGTAACAGTTCCTAGGCCTCCCCCAACATGTGGCAGTAATGCGATCGTCTACAATTATGTAAACTACTGAGTGCAATTTATATAAAATCTACCCGGGAGTTTTTCGGGGAACAGCGCACAAGATCATGTGGACTAAGGGTTCAACCGTCATACGGCAAGGGGAAGGTGACGCATCAATTGCACTGTTACAGAACCAGCCGCATTACTGAAACCCTAGTACAGGTGACCAGTAGATAAAAACAGCTGCCCAAGTAGCCAGTTTCCAATCCATTCCAGTCCTTACAGCTTATAAGGGACAGTTTGCATAAGAACGGAAAAGACTTGGCAGGGATTGGCGCAAGAACACGCGCACGCTGTAACTTGGAGAGACGGCGGATGATGAAGTGCGGTGTTGCAAGAACAAGGCACTAGACTGTTGTGTTGGCCATGTGCTCTGGTGGCCACTACGATGGCTGCGACCAGAATAGCAATAGCGGAGTGATGTCGGTTATCATCAGTAGGACTTATAATTAGCTGAATGTCAACTCTAATACTACAATCGGAGCCGCGGAAACACGGATTTGGTTCGGTTAGTTTTCGACCTCCATACGCGTCATGTCAGTTGATTTCTCGGTTACCCTTCACGTCAATGTGCAGCTCCTTAAGTCATTTGGATCTGTAGAATCTACACGAAATGAAGATTTCTGAGAAAAAGCTATTACTCAATATAATGAATGCACAAGGATGAGATGAACTATACCCTAGGCTGAAGGTGGTTTGTGCCAAATGATACTTTGTCTCACAACTGCAAAACAGGATATCCTCAACGAAGTGTTAATCCTCAGAGTGATCTGCAAATTCCTCAATGACTTAATCCAGATGCGAAACAGATGAAAGGTGAAGGCTAATAACACTCAACCTAGGAGGAACGTCAACACAAGTTGGACCAAGGCCGAGGTTGGTGTCGAGCTAACACATACTTTAAATGCTTGGTATGGGTCCAAGTCTTGGTTGATGTAGTTTCCTCTACTGGCATTGGTAGCCACAATCATCACAAACCACACGTTGTCCACAGAACTGGCCCCGGCAGAAACATACTTTGTCTCGTCCAGTTCTGAATACTAGTTGCAGCGGACAACACGTTGGCTGCACTAGTTCCAGCAAACAAGCGCGATGGGACCGTAAATCCATCCTTTACATTCACAAGCTGCAAGTTGCACTTCTTTGACGGTGATTCGCTGAGTTGCTGCTCTGACCTTCAACTGTGTCAGTGCCTGTGTTATTACCACATGGCGTGCCCTTGTATTGTTCTGGTACTTGCGCAACACATGCTGCACCTCTATTTCTTCTGTGGAAGGCTGGTTAACCCACTGACAGTCAGTGCTCATTGATGTAGCTCAGGAACTCAGCATTTGCTGCATAATTGCGCAATGAAGGAGTTTAGATCAGTGGGGGTGGAGGCTGTAGTCAAGAACTTGTGCGAGTATTGGTAAGATTGCCACCCCCTCCAGTACTTCATGCAATTCTGACCTGATTTAGGTCATCTCAGCCCTGACCTATAGTCCAGATCTGGTAGTCTATGTTACTTGACATTATTGATGATCTAATCCAGGCTGATATCACAACAAAATCAGTTACGGGAATTCTCATGATTCATAAGCAGTAACCATATTGGTACACGCTGCATGTAGTGCGGAGTGGACAAAGTGCACAAGTCTCAGATAGCCGAGAATTCAGACGAATCCTTTAGACACTCGACATTTGTGAACTTGTCAAGAGTTCGATGTAAAGCTGCAGGCCTCGAGTTTCAGCTCGGAAGAATCCCACTACACAAGAATACAATCTTGGAGTTTAGGAAGGCTATCCTTTCAGCCTCCATGCACTTGGATTTTAATTATTTTTGTTTGTCTTTATATGGTCCTTCAATTTCCTCTTATTATGTTTGAATGCTTTTTTTTTTTTTTTTTTTTTTTTTTTTTTACAACTTCAACCAAAAAACCAAAAATTTAGGAACATCTCAACTTAATTGAACATTTTGACATTTTAGCACAAATTATTGTTAAGAATTTCAAAGTAAAAATTACCAGCTTACAATATATAATTATCACACATAAATAATAGGGTGATAATGAAACCAAGTTTGCTTTGGTCATGAGATGAAGCAATATAATCAAAGAAAAGACTTTAGTACAATTCTAATCCTATCCATGATAAACATGTCAAATTTTTGAACCAAGTAAGAATCTTGAGATGTCTAATATGAATAAAATGTGCATGTGAATACTATGTACAAAGATTGAGCTTATAACATACAAAGTGAGACCATATCTACACCCCTTTATATGCTCAATTTCTCCTTTGCTTCAAATGTTCTATTAATATTAAAATGTCTACATTCTTCTTGATCTAGATAAATGAACATATTCAAAATATATATAGATACAATGTTTAATGGACCTCTTTTGTAATAATTTCTTGTTATTTTTTTTTGTTTTCAAATGGTTTCAAGGATAAGAACTTAATGAAAGTAAATAAATAAGTTAGACTTTTTCAAAGAAGTATGACAAAATAGAAATAAGAAAGTATGTATATTAAATAGAAATTGGAATGGCTACTGTCAAAAGATAAAAAAATGAAAGACTCTTGAAACTAAACTAGAAGCAAGAAAGAAATTGACAAGAATGAAGAAGGGTTTACTCTTGCCTCTATATAGACTATCTACATAGGAGCTATATGGCGACTTTCTATAGGACCTCCAAAAACATATTGATTTTGTACAATATGTATCTTAACTTGCAAGAAAAGTTTTTTATATGGACACCACATAATTAGCTTATTCTCTAAGCTATTAATATGTGTGGCATGTGGTTAGCTTGTTGACCTAGTTTCTAACCTATCAATCAACTACAAACACATGTAAAATCAAAATAAAGTCTATGAAGCTTCTTTAAAAGATATTAATCTACTTTTATCTACTTTTATCTAGTTCTACCTATTTCAAGAAATTTAAAGAAGCTTCAGATTTTATTTCATAAAATTAATCTATTTTTATCTATTTTTATCTATTTCTATCTATTTATATTATTTAGATAATAATAACAATAAATATATTGTTGTGACATTATTCTTCTTTCTAGAGACAAGTTCTATAAGAAGCAGTGATCACATGTTGACAAAGTCTAAAATATAGTAAATTGTATTTGTCAAATATTTTAATCTTTGTTCTTTTTAAAGATAGTTGATAGGTCCTCTTAGCCATTGATAATGTTCCATTCTAGGATAAAAAGACCACCTTGTTATTTGATCATTGTTGAGACCTTTGTAACTTCCTTCAAACAAAATATTTGTAATACCATCGGGAGTTGTTTCTACTTTCAATAAAATTACCAAAGATAAAGATTTTTTTTTCAAGTTGTGATATCAAATATGTTGTATCTTGCCATCTATTTGAGGAAGAACATGTCATTCTTGAAGGTCTTCATCTCTATTATATCATCTTAAAGGTTGTGATAATTGCAATGTCTTATTTGATAAGTCAATAAATGATGGCTCTTGAGTTGAATCTCTATAGATTAATGTGCATTAATATAGATATGATGTTATTTTTTATCAATGTAGAAATGAGGTTATTCCTTACAATAAGCATCTGCATTGCTTTTTTCTTGTTGTTGAGTTTCTTTTAGTCATGTCGTCATTATTATATATAACTTAGATAAATGATTTGTTAAATCTTTTCTTGCAGGATTATTAAATTTTGAAAAATCAAAAGCATCAAGTTGTAGATGATAACCATAATTAATAAAGAAAGTTATTTGTTGCATAGAAGAATTTACCGTATTACTATAAGCAAATTTTGATAACAGCAAAAAAATTATTCAATCATCTTATTGATAATTAATGGTATATCTCAAATACTACTCTAAAATTTGATTTATATACTTTATTTATCTATTAATTTGAAGGTGGAAAGCCAAAGATAGTTTTATGTCCACCTTTAAAATCTTAAAAAGTATTTCCTAAAATCTTAATACAAATTGAGTTCTCTTATCCAATATGATATCCTTAGGCAATCTTTGATAATAATAGATGTTATTAAAAAAACTTGATTATTTCTTCACTTAAAATAGATTTTGTATATGGTTCAAAATGTGCCATCTTGGTGTAACAATCTACTATCACAAATATAAAGCCATAACTTAAGACTAAAAGATTTATAATAAAATTCATAGAAATACAAGATTAAGATTGATATAGGATGGATAATGGATGAAGAAGTCTATAAAGTGGATGACAAGAAATTTTTGATCTTGAACAAATATCATAAGATTGTACAAAATCTTTAACTACTTTCTTTAGTTGAAGCCACCAAAAATTCTTGAATATTAGTTTCAAAATCTTACTGTACCCAAAATATTTTGTTACTAGAAAGTTATGACAAGCTTGAAGAATATATAATCAAGCTTCACCTTTTGGAACATATAAGCATCTCTCAAAATATAGTAGATTGTTCTTGAATTCAAACTTAGAAGTATTATGAGACTTTGAAGCATTTTCCTTAATATCACAAATAAGACAATTAAAAGACATGATTGAATTTGCTTAATAAAAGTTGAATCAATAGTTAGTATTGATTCATTGCTGAAAGATAGAGATACTCTAGCTTTAAAAAAATGGTTTGTTATTGATCAAAATTGGCATTTTTTTCTTTTGCTATAAAGTAAGTTTGTCTAAAAAGTGTATCTAACAAACATTGTTATTTTTCTAATTGATAAGTGATCTTGAATTTGAATCTTGACAAGGACAAGATCTAAGGGACTAAGCAACAATTCAAAACTCATGCTAATATAAAATCAAGTTTTTTGTGATCTATATATATGGTGATTGGATTAAAAGTACCTTTTAGATAATAGCACCATTCTTGAAATGAATCTACAATTAGAAGAAGTTTTTTGTGATGGATCTTGTAATTGATTTTGTCTATTTAAAAAAAAAATAGAATAAAAATCTATTGAATGAAATTTATCATCTATTCCTATTTGTCACAATATGACACCTAAAGCAAAGTCTGATGCATTTGTTTCTATAAAAAATGGCTTAGTAAAGGCGACACAATACAAGATTGGTACAAAAACAAAGGTTATTTTTAAAGCTTCCAATGTTGCTTCTCTTTCTTCATTCTATTAAAATTTTTCTTTACAAGTCAAATGTATAAATCAAGTTATAACTTAAAAAAAGTTCTTGATAAAGATCTAATAGAAGTTAAAAAATTCCAAAAAATATTAGATATTTCTTACCAATTTTAGAATCTTTCAATCCATAATAGTTTGAAGTTTTTTAGGATTTATCATAAGTCCATCATTTGAAATGATCTATCCTAAGAAGTCAACTTGAATAGTATAAAATATACACTTTTTAATCTTAATATAGAGTCTTACATTTTTTAGTTTTTGTAGTACACAATAAATATGAAGTTTATATTTTTTATGTTTTTAAAATAGATTAAGATTTTTTTTAGATCATAAATAGAAAAATTATCCAAAAACTCTCAAAAGATATCATTTATTATATGTTAAAAAATTGTTGATATATTTGTAAGTCCAAAAGTCATAATATTATATTCAAAATATTTGTATGTAGTTCAAAATACAATCCTTCATTTATCTCCTTTCTTGATGTATATTTTGATGTATATACTTCTTGTAAATCTATTTTTA